GTAGATGCAGTTTCCTTCAAAATTCTAGTTAATGCTTTGGCAGAAATTGAACTGCTAATCTTGAACTAACTATAAGAATGCATAAGATACTTAGCCAAATCAAGATTGAAAATAAAGAACAAAGTTAGTTGTTAAAAATTATGTTACTGGGACTGGAGAGATGGCTCAGTGGTTAAGAGCACCAACTGCTCTTGCAGAGGACCCGGGTTCGATTCCCAACACCAAACAACCATCTGTAACTCCAGTTCCAGGGGATCCAACGCCCTCTTCTGACCTCCACTGGCATTGCACGACGGTGGTGCACTTACGTACATGCAGGCAACACATTCATACCCATAAAATAAAATAATAAATGAACATAATGTTATTACCACGACCATGGACTTCTAGATAACAGAATAGAATTGAGAATCCAGAATTACACAATTAATTTTGATTTATTTTCATAACTGGTGCCTGAATGACTCAATGGGTGGAGACTAGTCTTTTCCACAAATGGTGACGAACAACTGAATGTCTGTGCAAAAGAACAAAGGTAGATTGCTTACATACGCCATGTACAAAAATTGGCCCAACACAGATCATTGATGTAAATATAAAAGTCCAAAGCATTACACTCCAGAAAAACAGACTTACAGAATCTTTATGTATTTGAGTAGGTAATGATTTCATAGATAAAACTCTAAAACAGCAAGGGATAGAAAAATAAAAGGTAAACAAGAATTCACTAAAATTAAAATGTTTTATACTGAAAATGATACCTTAAAAAATCATACATAAAGACCATCATTAGAATGCTAGACATATTTGAAAATGGTGTATTTCATAATGGATTCATGTGTATAATAGGTAAAGAAGTTTCATAACTGAACTATAACAGAAACAACTTAAGTTACAAGTGAATGCTGAATCTGAACACGCATTCATCCTAAGACAGAGTCACTGCCAGTGAACACGAATGTGATGCTGATGCTGTCTATCATTAGCCATGAGAGAAATGCAAATGAATGAACAGTGAAATGCTACTCATGTTCACTAGGGTGATTAAAAATAAATAAAAAAACAAACACAGAAAGGACAGGTAATGCATACGTTATGTGGATGCAGAGTTGCAGTTCGCTGCGGGCAGGGTTGAAAGTGGCACGTCCACTTTGGATCGCATTTTGATTCTTCTTCAAAAGTTAAACACAGCATTATGTTAGGAGCCTGCAATTTCATTTGTGAGTATGGATGCAAGAAAAATAAACAGACATGTCTCCAAAATAACTAGCAAAGGGCTGACATACATTAACCCAACACTACAAACAACCTAGACGTCCATCAAACGATGGAGGATGAGCAGTGTGTGAGCTGTATGTACAGTGGAATGCTGTTCAGGCATTAAAAGGAGTAAAGTTCTGATTCACTGTACAGCACAGAACCTTGAAAGCAAGATGCCAAGGAAGCCAGTCCTACAAGCCCATACGTGTCGCGCAGACTCGTTTGACACCAGATTCTCACCACAGACAAATGTTAGGGTATTAACTGTATCATGGGGGCGGGTGTGATGTGATTAGTGGCAGCTAATGAAATTCTTCGTGGGAATTAAAATTGCTGTAAAATTAAAATATGATGATGCTTGCCAAGTCAGAATATACTAAAACCATTGAACCATACACTTCAAGAAAGTTATATTACATGTGAGTTACATCTCAGTTAAAACAAAAAAAGGCAGGGAAATATCAAAAACATTAGAAGGAGTAGCAGGTAAGAACCATCTACATACCTAGATCGAATGATTGTTTTTTGTTTTTTTTCCGTCCTTAGTGACTGTATGTGGAAAAACCTGTTTTTCATGTTTTGGGTTTGTTTCTAGTTTATTATTGCATTACTTTGTGTGTTGTGCATATATGCACGTGTGTGGCAAGGCCCATGTGTGGAGGTCAGAGGTTACCTTGTAGAGTCAGTTCTTTCCTTCTGCTATGTGGGTCCTGGGGATCGCACTCAGTTCATCATACTTGAATGGGAAGCTCCTTTACCAGCAGCAGCCCTGTTGTTGTTTTAAGCAGAGTTTCACACTGTAGCCCAGACCGGCTCCTGCCTCAGCCTCCTCTGTGCTAAGCTCATAGCTGTGACGTACCACACCTAGGTAGAAATCCTCTTTTTGGAGGAAGCAGTATGAATCACCTAATCACACGCTGAGTTTAAATTCCTGGCTTTTCAGTTAAACTGGGAAGGTGTGAGAATGTCTAGATTGGTTGTCTCCTAATTATCCTTCATACTGGGAGATCGTAGGTAGAATCTTGTTCATTTCTAATTTTATAATTCATGTTCATTATGTTTAATTATTACTCACCTTAAGTACAGAGTTGGAATATGTCCTTTGGTAAGTGTCTTGGAAACTGTTAGTTTTCTAAGGAAGATGACCACAACCCTGGGTGGCTTAGAGCAATGGGTACTCAGCCTCTATTAGTTCTAGAAGCTCTAAGTCTGAAGCCAAGGTGTCTACAATTTAGCTTCCTCTAGGGTTCTGTAGGAGATTTCTTCCTGTGCTTCTGGCTTCCTGCAGCCTCGAGCAACCCTTGTCTTTTCCTCACGTGTGTGTATCTGTCACTCCAGTCTCTGTGTCCGCCCACCCATTTCTGCATTTTCTACATCTTTTGAAAGGATATTTGTCACTGGATATGTGCCTGTGTGTGTGTGTGTGTGTGTGTGTGTGTGTGTGTGTGTGGTTACCATGTGCACTTTATTGAATCCACCATAGAGAAATGTGTGAGCTGTGAGTGTAACATCTGTATAACCATGAGGATGAAGGGGCAGGGTGAGTGGCAGCTGTGGATTGTGGGGTATGTGCCAGAAGCCAGAATCCCCTATCATACATACTGACGGTTCAACAGCAATGATAGGGATAACGACCATAAATAAGGATGCTGAAGACCAGGGGGCTGATGTTCAGGCATTTGGCAGTAGAGACGTAGACCTGGGCCCCAGTCACATTGCCCACCATCTTCTGGTCCCTAGACTTCACAGAGTAGGCATAGGCAATGAAACCCAGGCAGTAAAAGTTCACGAAGAGTGCTTAAGCGGGGACCAGAACACATGGTCAGGCACAGAGACCTGTCTGGGTATGTTGATCACAGTGGTCTTGATGGAAGCTGAGCCATGAGGGTCCCCCAGCTCAGCCACCTCACATTCCTCTTTGATCCTTTCATAGTTTGGGGGATGTCCGGCATTGGTGGTCATCAAGAAGGCTTGAGAAGTGTCGTTCGTTGTGCCAAGCAAAATCAGCAGTGAGGGGCAGATGAACTGCTCTGTGGGCCGCCCTTTCTCCAGCATTGTGTTTCTCAGAAGTGGTGTGCCTCTTCTCAATCCAGAACAGTTTTCTAAATCCTCTTCCCTCCCTCCCCTCCTCTTTCCATCTCTCCCTGTCTCCTCCTTCCCTTCCTCCCTCTCTCTCTCTCCCTCTCTCCCTCTTCCTCCCTCCCTCCCTCTCTCCCTCTCTCTCATCTCCTCCTTCCCTTCCTCCCTCTCTCTGTCTCTCCCCTCTCTCCCTCTTCCTCCCTCCCTCCCCCCTCTCTCCCTCTCTCTCATCTCCTTCTTCCCTTCCTCCCTATCTTACCCCCCACCCATTGTGTATGCGATCCTACAATATTCTATTTTTTTTTTTTGTAATGGATTGTCAGAGAAAATGGATTTGTCCATTATTGTTTGCTGGCTTCCTTCTACTTCATGCAGTGACTTTCCCTTTGTTTAGTTTTTATGTTTCAATTACAAATACTGTAGATAAATCTGGGTGTGTCTCAAAAAAAAAAAAGAAACAAATAAATAAATAACCAGGTGTGGCTCAAAAAGACAAATAAGTAAAACATAAAAGTTAAACAAACACTGTAGATAGCTTTGAATATGTCATTGTGCCCCATTTGTTCATTAGGGTCATTTCTTTTAAGTACAACTTATTAGGATTTAGGACTTTGAATCAAATGAAAGGATTCTTTTTATTGTTGAAGTTGCGTGTGAAACAAAGTCAATAAAAAATAAAAACAAAAGAGGGTTTATAGCATACCCCCTCCTACTTCTTATCCTCAGCCCTATTTCTTTCTTTTTCTTTTCTTTCTTTTTTGGTCTTTTAAGACAGGGTCTCCCTGTAGCCCCAGCTGCCTGGAACTCACAGACATCTGCCTGGCTTTGCCTCCTGAGGGCTGGGCTTAAAGGAGTGCGCCACCCCGCTTGGCTCCTCAGGCCCATTTTCTAACAGGTGGGTTTAATCTGAGTCTAAAGGGAAGATATATGCATATATACGTAGATATATTTTTTGATATGTGGAGTCGCGTAGCCAAGGGTGCTTCAAATTCACTACATATTCGAGGATGACCTTGAACTTTGGGGCCCCCTGCCACCTCCTGAGTGTTAGGATTTTATACATTTACCACCATACTCCATTTTTGTGTTACTGAGGAAGAAACCCAAGGCTGAATACATATTACACAAGGAGTCTACCAACTGAACTACATCACCAACCCAAGAATATATTCAAATAATATGTGTCTGTCTATTTAAACAAACCATATCCCCTTTGCTGTGTTTATTTAGTACCTACTAAATGCTGGGGCTGGGGTCAGGTTTTTTGTTTTTTGTTTTTTTTAAGCATATATTTATCCTAAAAGGAAGGAATGGGTAGAGTCCTCATGTCTATTTGCTGGCCTGTTTTGATTGACCATGAAAGTGGTGGGAATTATTTGCATTAGGAAGCAGAGTCACTTAGATCTTAAAAGTTTCAACTCCAGTGTCCAGTCACCTGACCTACCTAGTGTGGTCCTGATTTCACACAGAATGTCTGGGAGTCTGGAAGGTACTCTGGGTAATGGCCCATTCAAAGTGATGATGTAACATCTAGTGTATCTCATTTCTAATTGGTTGTCATCTTGAAGATCATAAGGATTCGGATATTCCTGAGTCTGTGTGGATGGTTCCTGGATTTAAACCTTTGGTAGGCTCCTGATGTTGCCTGCTTTATCCTGCAGGTCACTTCATGTGCTCGTGTGCAACGCGGGGACTTTTGCTCTGCCCTGGAGCCTCACTAAGGATGGACTGGAGACTACTTTCCAGGTGAACCACCTGGGCCACTTCTACCTTGTCCAACTCCTGCAGGATGTTTTGTGTCGCTCCTCCCCTGCCCGTGTTGTTGTGGTCTCCTCTGAGTCCCATAGGTGGGTATGAATTTGATCTGAGATTTTCTACCTGTCTCCTTGTCTGCATCACCTGAAATTCCCTCCAAGGTGCTGTCTGAATATAAATTTTGATTTGGCACTGGAGAGATGGCTCAGTTAGGAGTGCTTGCTGTTTTGCAGAGGACCCCAATTGGTTCCCAGCACCCATATAGGGTGGCTCACAACTGCCTGCAGCTTCAGGTCCAGGGGATCTGATGCCCTCCTCTGGCCTCCGTGGGCACCCATAACCACATTAATACACATGGAACACACACATGCATATAAATAGATGAAAGTCAATCTTTACAAAAATATTAATTTTGACTTGCTATACTCTGAAAAAACATGAATGTGTACAACCCAGCCTCATTATTTTTCTGGATCCTTCTGCATATGCGATTAAGGGGATTGTTTGGGTGGGGGTGCTGTCTAGAGCAATATACAGTGATTTTACAATTATACCTCAAGCTCCCCATTGATTTCGTTCAGAGATGGAATAATAATTGATTAAATCTGAAAGGCTCGACCTTTATTGATTTGTAATTCAACAACTTCAACATCTCACCGAGAGGAATGCACAGTTATTCTAGCAGGAGAAACAATGCAATTAAAGACCTCGAGATGAAATCCAATTGTTTTATAATGAGAAATTAGGGAATTCAATGCAGACATTAGCCAAGATAATTGTTGAAAGAGAAGTACTGTATTTAGAACATATTAGAAATCTGGCCATGCCTCTTTTGGTTAAAATTTCAATTTAAACATCAGATGGTGCCTCTTTCTGATTACCATTAAGCTATTCAATTGACTAAAAAGACGTCTGAAAATTTCATCGGATTTTCAACATGCTCGTTTCTGTGGGTGGATGATCAGCTATCTTTCTAAGAGATGGGTTGAGAAAAGAAACAGGGTTTTCTGGGCTGTCGAGGCAAGATTTACTGCTTGTTAGATTTCTCTTTTCTATTTTTCTTGGTGTTATGGGTAGAGGAAAGCTCCTTAGCACAGTACCTAAAAAAATAAATAAATAAATAAAATAAAAAATAATGTGCCAAGGACTATTTTCTTACCCTTCTTCTCCATCTTAAGTCCCGAAATGTTTTAGTGACCCAGAATGAAGCTTATTTTTTTTAATCATACTTCCACAAAATGTAACCCCTGGGACTTTGAAGAGAGAGACCAGCCAAGGGTTAGCCTGAACCCTTTATCACTCCCAAACACAGGGGCTTACGGTATAAGTGACACAGCACAGACAGATTTACTCTGGCCGTTTTAAATTTATGATGGCTGAAATGAAAGAAAACACTGGTAATAATCCTCCCCTGTGCGAAGAGACACGGAGCATCTAGTAATTAGGTAGTAACAAAATCTGGCCAGCCTTATCTTTGCAAATCACACCAGGTTTGTGAGAGAAAAGAGAAGAGACCCCATCTAAGGAGGCTACTGTGAGGGTAGACCAGAGAAAGAGCCATGGAAATAAATCTGCCAGCCCCAATCGCCTGCCAGATGTGGAGGGCACCACGGGATATGTTTAAATGAGCTGGTATTTAATGGATGTGATGGCGAGATGTCAGCTGCTGGTGTCTCTCTGTAAAGCTGTGTCTGGGATGCCGTTTCCTGGGCTGCCTTTGTTCTCTCCTTAACTACAGTGTAATTTCTGCCTACCTGGGAGACCTGAATCCTAATTTCAGTTAAAAAGATTAATTTGGAAAGAAAGACCTTGCCCTCCAGAATGAGAGCCACTGACATTTATGGGCAAGGCCTAATTGAAGTGTGTGCTCAGGCCCACACCCGTGTGTTGAGTGACTCTGGCCATCCACTTTTATACATTGTTAAAGAACATTTTTGCAAAATATTAATTCCCGCAGGCTGGGTTGTTGATTGTCCTTTTGTTACACTCTTGAGTTCCAGAAGGCAAGTGTGGCTGCTGGGCACACACATAGAACTTTTTCGCTACTGGAGGACCCAGAGCCTAAACCAAGCTGTAAAATGCAAGTGTTGATATGTAATTACCTCCATAAACCTCGGTGGAATCTCTTCGCTGGAGTCAAGACCCCCTGTTAGGGGAAAAATAAAGCCCTATGTTTGCAGAAAATATTACACTAGACTGCCCTCGGGCAAAATATTTATTAGACACCCTGTGTCTTCACTGTGTTTTAGTTACTTATCTGGAGTCTCAGCAAGTGAATTGAGTTTCAGCCTGTCTGAAATAGATCATAATGAAATGGGAAGTTGACTTCCTCCCTGTGAAAATTTCTCAGATAACAATTAAAATAGTGTGAAGAGAGCAGAGGCTGCACAGTTCTGCACAGATGCAGCTGCAGGAATGACAGACGGATGGACACAGAGTCACAGATACAGGGTCACACACATGCATTTGGACTCACAGTTACAGACACAGGGTCACACACACCCACAGACTCACATACAGAGGCTCATACACACAAAACCACACAGCCACATAACCACATAGTCCCAGTCATATACATATAATCACATGTTATCACACACACAACCACACAGTCACATAACCACACAGTCACAATCATATACATATAATCACACATATGTCATCACACACACAGCCATGAATAGTCACAAATCACAGTCTCACACACACAATCACATTCAGCCATATGTACAATCACATAGTCATACATACATCCATATTTATGCATACCACCATACTGTCACATACATGTAATCACACAGCTGTAGCCACACACACAACCATACTGTCATAACCACAGTCACACAGCCACACACACATACAACCACACCTTCACACAACCTTATAGTTACACACAGTCACCCACATGTAGTCACACATACAAGCACACAGTCACATACAACCACAATGTCATACAACCACACAATCACACACATGTAATCACATACATGTAGTCACACACAACTACATAGTAACACCCAAAACCATACAGTCACACGTAGATAATTGTACACATGTAGTCATACACATATGATCACACACATGTAGTGACTCACACACCACAGCCACACACATAATCAGCCACAAACACGCAATCACACCCACACCCACAATTTCACACAGTCTCATACATACATTCAAACACATGCAATCACATAAGCACACATAGTTACACATACAACCGCTTATTCACAGACAGTCACACATAATGAGACCCAGTCACACAGTCATACACATATAACACATACAATCACACAGCCATACACACAGTCCCACGCATACAGTTACATACACGTGGTATTTTTCATGCAGGTTCATTTCTACTCCTTAACTGTGTTGATTTTTAACTACACAGAGTCCATCCTGAGAGCAGAGCAGGCAGTCTTGCCGAATTGTCCTTTTGCCTCCTGAACAGAGATGAAACGGCCATTTTCCTGGATCCTCACTTCTGTGTGGAGGCATCAGGAGGGCTCCCACACTTCCAGCTTCCTTGAGAACTGGTGATCTCACCTAGTCAGGCCCTCAGGAGCGTGGAGTTCTGTTCAGGAGACCTCAAGGGGAAGGAAATCGGGGCTCCTGATATGGGGGGAGGAGCTCTTGGCAGAGGGAGATCAGAGGCCCAGCCAACGTGTCTCCGTTCTAAACAGTCTTGTAGTCTTTTCCATTTAATTTCCCATTGTGGCAGCTTTGGTCTTGTTTCTAGAGAAGATTCTAGGAAGGAGTCACTTTCCTGCTCTCAGAGGTTTAACTAAGGGTTGGGTATAGCTCAGTGGTAGAGTGCTTACCCTAGTCTACCATAAGGCCCTCAATCCCATCTCTAGCACTGCAGAAATAATAAACAAAATGAAGTTTAATCTACTCAGTGTCCCCCAGTCATGAGACAAGGGAATGTCTTTTCACACCAGAAGACACTGATGCCGATATATAATAGAACTTTGAGGGTGTGAGCCTCGTGGTCCATATGGCCTTTTGAGTGAGACTTAGAGCTAGGCCTTTTATAATTAGGGATGCTTACCTCTTAGTTCTGAACGGTAGCCCGTGATCAGCCTTCTGTTCTCAAATCCTGGATTACTTTCCCACTGTGATCCCCACCCTTTACCAGGCAACCTATAGGAGCCTCACTACCTGCTTGCCAAGAATTCTCCACCAGCATTAGAACCAGGGAGGCAAATGACTAGCAGCCAGGATGGTAATGGCAGGGCCAGTGCACAGGTGAGATGAAGATGCAGCCGCCAGCCTTGTTCCTAATCTTGGGGGAGCAGTAGTTGTCACCCAACACTGGCAGTGACTTTGTAGAATGGGTCCTGTGGAGTGGATGCTGCATTACTATGGAGACATGTATCTCAGTCTCTTTGGGAGGCTCATCTCAGTCTGAGTCCTTACCACAAAACCATTGTGACCAGCTAGAAGAGCTTCCTGGAAGAGGTGTTCCCGAGCTGGGTTCAGCTGCCTCCTTATGGTACAGATATTGTTCCAGGAGCAGTTAGAGGAAGAAGCATTGAAGGGAGCCGTGAAGGGTGTAATATTTATTCCACACCTTTCAAACACTGTGTTGTCTTTTTGGTGCCCTTTTCTACCCTTAGTAGCAAGGTTTCCAAGTCACGGCTCATACCTCAGCTCTTTGGGTTTGTAACCCAGTAGCACTTTTTATGACAGCTTTTCAGTAACACCTCATTACCATGTTGAAATCAAGTTCAGAAATAATATAACTCCCCTGAACAAACCTATTTTTTAGTTCGGAATGATGGCTTGTCTAATGTAAAGAAAACAAATGGGAAACAAAATAGTGTGTGTTCCAGTGCGGAACTCCTTGGGCAGACTACAGGGAAGATAACAAGATATGTGTGTCTGTGCATAAATCACCTCAGGTGGGACCCTCACAAAACCAGACTGTCAACAGGTAGGCACTGCTGCAGACTCCAGCGCCACCCACATTGAATCAAACCTCATTCCAAAACCCCAGGACGTCTGAGCATGCACTCATCCGTTATTTACATAGTTGCTGCACGGGACTGGATGCTCAGTCGTTAAGACTGTGCACATACATAAACACAAGCTGGAGGCTCAGAGAATTCCACCCACCCAGGCTTTGTATCTGTGTGGATGTCTGGTGGGGCCATCTTCAGTCTGCCTTGTAGGACGTCTGCCTGCCCCAGCTCCCACCCACAGTCATTACTTCTATCAAACAAAGTCCCCATGAACATTCAGACGTCCTGCTAAGTTCCTCCACCTTTGGCAATAAAGCTGGAAGTCTGGGGTCTTCCTGTGGTCTGGGGACTTGAGAACAAGCCTCCACTAGTTAGTTGCAAGGTCTCGCTGCTGTAGCTGTTATGACATTTCTGGCCATCAGCTTTGTTGATGACCTCAGAGCAACCTAGAATTGGATGTCACTGACCGAGCCCTGGGCAAGGGGCATTTAATTTCTATTAAGACATGACTTTCACCTGCCCCTATGAGTCTTTTTTTGGTTTTAGCCCATCCTGACCTGCTCCTTCAAAGGAACAAGATTGTTCCATGATTTTCTTTTTACCATTTACTCTCTGTTTTCCTCAGCTGTTTTCTGGAATATTCCTCTCCTGCTTCCTTACTATACAATGCCCAAAGTTAATTTAAGGAAGCCAGTTATGATGTGTCCTTAAACAAAAATGAGACCATCTAGAACATTCCTTCTGGTTGTTACTTGGGATTAATTTTTTTTAAAGGACCGTTTACTTCTTTGTTATTTTTTGACACAGAAAAGAAAGGAAGAAAGGAAACAAACAGCTGGTGTTTAACGACTCTGTCAGACCCAATTATAAAACATCAACTAGTTACTTTGATTTGTGTACATCCATGCCATGGGCGTACTTAAAAACAGTAGACTCTGCCAGGATACATCTATGGCTTTGCTTACATTTATCTTTTAAATGTAGAAGACTATTGATGGCCCCTCACCAAGGTTATAACCCTTTTATAATCATTAATTTTTAATCTGGAAAAGTCTTGGAGGCAAGACAGCTCATCTGTATTTACGTGGATGCTCAAATGAAAATATACAGGACACAAGCATTTGACTAAAATAATCCAGGAAGACCCTGCCAGGGGTTAGGAATGTGATCTTCCTGTTTCCAAAAGCAGCAGCCTTTTATTTAAGATGTGTTTCCATTTAATTAGTCTTGAACTTCCTGCTGAAGATTTTGAAGAATGCACATATACACTCACTCCTGTTTTTTTTTTCAATTTTTTATTTTATGTGTATGAGTGTAAATCCTGCATGTATGTAAGTATACTCGTGTCATGCAATGGCTATGGAGGTCAGAAGAAGACATCAGATCCCCTGGAACTAGAGCTACAGACTGTTGTTAGCTGCCATGAAGGTGCTGGGAATCGAACCCGGGTCCTCTGTAAGAGCAGCCAGTGCTCTTAACAGCTGAGCTATATCCCCAGCCCCTTTCTGTTTGTTTATTCAGATACGGCTTTACAGTGTAGCTTAGGCTAGCCTGGAACTCACTATACATCCCAGGCTGACCCCCAAACTTGGGGTGATTTTCTCCAGAGCTTCTTGAGTGCTAGGATTATAAACTTAAAGAATATATTTGTGGCAGGATGCATTAGGTTAGTTTAGCCTGCTACACTACTCTTTGGATCAAATTGCTTGGCAGCATTAAGTGACCATCTTCTGTTTTCAAGGGACACACAGTTTTGAAGTATGCTAGATTGAGTCTTCAGTCTCCTCACTGTTTTTCAGATTTTCAATCAAAATAAAAAGTTCTGTGAGACCTCAGAACTTGGGTCACTAGTCACAGCTCCTCATTTTCAGATTCACAGATATTAATGATTCCTCTGGGAAACTCGACCTCAGCCGCCTGTCTCCATCCCAGAGTGACTACTGGGCCATGCTTGCATACAACAGATCCAAGCTCTGCAACATCCTCTTCTCCAACGAGCTGCACCGTCGCCTCTCCCCGCGTGGGGTCACGTCGAATGCAGTGCACCCCGGAAACATGATGTATTCATCCCTCCATCGCAACTCATGGATATACACGCTGCTCTTCACCCTGGCCAGACCATTTACCAAGTCCATGGTGAGTGGACGACGTTTGGTGCCACAGATACCACTAGTCAGCTTCACAGAGGGTCTGGGCTTTGCGTCTTCTTGCAGGCTCGATGTTGGATGTGATGAGCCTAGCATGTTATCAAACAGCATCCGTTCCAACACATTCATGTTGATTTTAGATTGAGTCTGTTGCTCTGCCGAAGTCCTATGTGAAGGACACCTGACAGTCGGAGGGAAACAGTGGCGTGTTTCCTCTTGTGATTTCTTTCTTGATTCAGAAGCTTCTAAAGTCTATATTGAGGAAAACAGCACTTGAAATGTGTGTTTGGTGTTAGATGAAAATGTGGATTAGGGACTGTGGGATTGTTAGCAGGTATGGTTCCGTGTTGACTGAGAGTCTGTATTGGATGTTCTAGAATCTTCGTCTAATGGAAAGTTGAATATAGCTCTTTCCTGGAGAAGCCTTTGTGGCTAGAATGTGGTTTATTCTTTACATCCCTGAAAGTGACTGTTTTGGATAAAGCACGCTGCTGTGGTTAGAGTTGGAAGTGATCATGAATGTGAATTTGAAGGTTTTACATTGTCACTGGTTGTTTATCAATGGTGTGTAAAAACCCCTCCCATGAATTCATTTACTACCCGGGCAACACGGTGGAGGAATGTATACATTGCAAGGTGTCTTTCATTGAATGCTTGTCTAAACCGCAGACTTTGAAAAAAAGTGTCCTTTTTCAGAGCCAGAGAGATGACTCAGTGGGTAAAGTGCTTGAGGTTCAAACATTAGGAACTGGGTTTGGGCCAGATGTGGTGCATACCTTTATTCCCAACACTCAGGAGTCTGAGCTAGGTGGATCTCTGTGAGACCAAGTCCAGCTTGGTCTACATAGCAAGTTCCAGGACAACTGGGGCTACAGGGAGACACTGTCTCAAAAAAACAAAACAAAATTAACAAAAAACTGGGTTCAGATCCCTAATATGTACACACATAAAAACTGGACATGGCTGTGTGCCTCTGTGACCCCAGTGTTAGTGTCAGAGATAGGGAGATCTCGGGCTGAAGGTCCAGCTTCAGTGACAGAGCTGGTCTCAAACTGTAAGGCCAAAGTGATAGAGAAAGAACCAAACACCCACCTCTGACCTATACCCTTGCACACACAGGCATGTGCACTCCCACACATGTGCATCCACATGCATGTACCACAATACACTAAATAAATATATACATAGAGAAAAATGTGTTCTTTTAAATGGATACAACTGTTCCAGTTACATTTACATCATAAATTAACTTTTTCCCCCACACACTTGGGCCTTTGGATGTCACAAGACATATCCTCCTGGCAAAGGGAGGAAATGGCTTCCTGGGACAGTAGACTACCTGTCTTCCTGAGGATTGATGGGAATGGGCGTAGCACCCGACGTCATGACGTAGGATCTGTGTCGTGATCTTCATCTGGCCATTGGCCATGTGTAGATATTGACATCGACAGCACAACTGAAGAAATAAATTTTGTATTTGCTTTTATTTCAGGCAATTGAAATAGCCTTGTGTGCCTAGTGGCGGCCACATTGGAGAGCTCGGTCCATAACACATCACGCACCGTACCTGTGCTTAGTCTTTTGTGCAGTATTACTAGTTCTTGCTGTGAGTCATGCCTGACTCCTGAATGTTCTCTGTACTGGAGTTGGTGGGCACAGCAAGGATCATGTGCTAAAAATTAGAGTAAATCAAATGATTTTATTTGCAATCACGCTAATGATTATAATTATGATAAATTGGGGGTCTGGTGGTAGGTGTAGGAGGAGGTTGAGGGCTCTGTCCCTGTCCTTCAAAGCCCAGAAATGAGATTACTGGCAAGGCAAGAAGACTGTCTGCAGGGTGAGAACCTGGTGTGGTGGCCTCAGACCTCTACATCTGGTCCCCAGGGAAGTCATAGTAGTTGGGCCACGTTCCTATCTGTGAGTGACTGGGAAACAGCACATTTGTTATCCCACAAACCTACTTTTGTTTTGTTGACTTCCTTATTTGTTGTGGTTGTTGTTCTTCAGACAGTATTTCATGGTGTAGCTCTGGCTGGCCTGGTACTCGTTGTGTGGCTCTGTCTGGACTCGACCTCATGGCAGTTCCTCCTGCCTCAAAGATTGGAAAGATGATGGACCACGTAACCATGTGTAGGCCCTCTGTACTGATGTTGGGGCATCTACACAGTATCATGTAGGTTCTCTGTATTAATATTAGGGGATCCACATGGTATCCAGTGTAGGCTCTCTGAATTGATGTTGGGGCATCCACATGGTATCACGTGTAGGTTCTCTGTATTGATCTTGGGGGATCCACATGGTATCCTGTGTAGGCTCTCTGAATTGATGTTGGGGCATCCACATGGTATCACGTGTAGATTCTCTGTATTGATGCTCAAGCATCCAGAAGGTTGGCAGTGCTTTGGCATTGAGTTTCCTTACTACTGAGTTCCCAGAGAGGCACTTACTTACCTCCCAGCCAGTCAGTGCCCTGCTGTCAGCAATTAGGCCTCTGCTCAGAAGCTGAGGGATTATGGTACTGGGTTCAGTCAGTGTCCCCAGCAGGACAGGGTAGTTTGATGGCAAAGGTCACCCTCCCATGCCATCCTCTGTTGCTTCCACCTCCATGTTTCTTTGACAACGGGCACACTTCTGCCATTTGCATGGAGATTATTTTGAGACACAAACCATGTAGCTGTATCCCATCCCAGGTACAATGTGGATTGTTACATGCCAGTCAGACAGCTGAGCAGAAATGTCCCTCCCATGAAGAGATGGCCAGGACTCTCCCAAGCCCCTCCTCCATCTCCCCTTACTGGAAACACTTTCCTCTTGTCTTGGATATGTCTGGTATTTTCCCGCCATTGCATGAGGCCCAGGGATGAAGAAATAGCACCCAGCCCTGAGCTTGGAAGCTCAGCTGTCCCTCTCCAGATCAGCCAGTTCTCATAAGCATTAAACAGCAGTATTCTAATATCAGCGTCCTTTCTTTATTTGCTGTGACTTGCTGTGACTATGGTGATTTTAGTTACAGTAATTAGGTCACCCTTCATGGAGTCAGGCTATTTTAAGTGCCTCTTTAAGGAATATTGTCGCAGAACAGTAATTTTACAATTGCATGTTCTTGTGCAACTTTATTAAATGTAATCTGTCTTTTAAATGTTGCCCTTTTACAGCTATACATTTCTAATTGTTGCTGTAAATGCATTATCACTTTGAAATTAATTAATTTTTGCATTTGGGCCACCCGCAGTATAATAATCACTAATGAGAAACTCACGGGGATCAATTTTCAGCACAGCGACCCCTACTGGCAAGGCCGCATCTCTTCAGCACTCTCTCCCTATAGGGCCACAGGGCATGTGGGGTGGGCTGTGGGGAAGTGGCAAGGATTCCTCCTCCCTCCAGTTTATAATAAGTTAAAAAATAGTGCATAAAATAGAAGGAAGTATGGTTATTCTGAATGTTGTTAAAAACCAAGACACAGAACTCTTTCAACAGCTGGCCCCGAAACACGTTCAAGGAAACCCAGGTTTTCTAACAGTGTTCACGTAATGATGGGCCTTGTGTGCTGACATCCCAGTCTCTTAAGTTACATTTTACATGTGTGTCAATATGTATTATATGTTAGCATATGTAATGTAGTTACACATACACATTAATCCATGGCATCTCAACTCACAAAACCGGACCTAGGGTGTTATTAGTGACCTAACAGACTTTCTGGGGTGATTTTGACTTTTCTGTGGGGGATTGGGACTCCTCACCACACCCCAGCTAAGGTGTGCTTCGGTGATCCCCCCAGGTGCCATGATGCCTCTGGTGTCAGCCTTTGTGCTTTCATGCATCTTTCACCATCTTTCTGGGGATCAGAATGACCTTTTTCTTGACCTCAAAAAGCCACAGCGTGCTTACCCAGCCTGTTCAAGAAAACATCATTCTGGCCTCCAGAAGCGTGGCCAGCTCCTCCTGTTCCATTTCCTTTGTCAAACACACCATAGTGCCCCTGCCATGTGTATCTGATTGTGTTGTTAAGTTTTCTTTTTAAGATGTTTGACAGCACCTTCATGAACCCCTCCCCGTTTCATTTTTCCACATTAGTTTTAAGCTCTGGTAAACAACCTCCTTGCCAGAGGTCCCAGGGCCAAGCCAGCCCTCTGTGGATCGGCATGTAAATTTGAACTTGAGCATGGTCACGTGCCGCTTAGGGTGTTTGGAGCAACCAAATATTTGTGTTGGCAGGTAACTGTCGAAAGAATATCATGTGTTAGGGTAGCAAGAGCTTAGCAGATGTTTTAGGGACTGTATTTTCAAATCATTTCACTTAAAAAAAAATTGGCTTAAATTTGTAGAACTTCTGAGAAAGATTGGGTTTCTCTTCCTATGGCCGTGAAAAGCCAGCCATTGTAAAGGAGTCTTAACAGATGTGCAGCTACCCTGCTCATGAACGGGCCTGCGATGCTCATCCCATTGCAGAGTTATAAATTATGGCAAGGAAAAGCATCAGATGGTAGGTATTCTAACCTTCGCAGAGCCAAGCTGGGTAACTCTGCCCTTGAATAACCTGCCGCCCAGTGATTGATATTCATGCAGTTCTAAAACATAATGAAGGACATAATGGATGTGGATTTGTTCTTTAAATTAGTATTTTAGTAAAATACTTCTCCCCGTTTACCCCCTTCAAAGACCTGCATCTGGCTTCACTGTAGGTTCCTTCCAGGACCAACTCATGTTGGAACCATGAATTGGTGTGTCACATACAAGGAGGAAGGTAATGATGGGGCCTTTGTTTCTACCTCTTGGGAGGTGTCTCTGCGCTGGGCAGGGGGTTGCAGATCAGAGTGTGTAAATAAACAAACGGTGAGGCCAGGTTTCACAGGAGAGCTGGGGTCAGAGCCAAAGGCCCCCTGGCCCCTGGCGACGTGCCACAGTAAGGGATTCCCAGGGGCAGTGTGTTTGGCAGGAAGATCTGTATGTAGAGAGCTGTGGACTGATGAAACAGGATAT